AGCTGTGCTATATTACAAACATAAGAGAAGGTGTGATGACTTTATTTGTTACTGTGAATGTATAAAGAGAAGGTTGGCAATGAGAATTTATATTTTGACACAAAACACACTTCATTCATACATTACAGTTAAAATACAAACAAAAGAAAGAAGAATTGGCATAATTGAATTCTGATGAAAAACTTTAGCTACTAAACAGCAATTGTTCCAAAATGGTAACATCACAGCAACACAAATGCAAATTCAGTAAAATAGATTGTCTCACATGCAATTCTCCAGTCCAGGAGGAATGAACATCATGAGAAAATTCTGAGAGAGAGAGAGAAAAAAAACTCAAGCATTTTGCTGTAGCAGGAGTGAAGTCCCAGGTAGATAGGGTGGTGAAAAATGTGTTTGGAACATTTGCCTTTATTGGTCAGTGCATTGAGTATATAAGTTGGGAGGTCATGTTGCAGCTGGACAAGCCATTGGCAAGGCCACTTTTAGAATATTGCATTCAATTCTGGTCTCCCTGCTATAGGAAGGATGTTGTTAAACTTAAAAGGGTTCTGAAAAGATTTATAGGAAAGCTGCCCAGACTGGAGGGTTTGAGCTATAAGGAGAGGCTGAATATGCTGGGGCTTTGTTCCCGGGAGTGTCAGAGGCTAAGGGGTGACCTTATAGAGGTTTATAAAATCATGAGGGGCATGCATAGGGTAAATAGCCAAGGTCATCTCCCCAAGTTAGGGGAATCCAAAACTAGAGGGGCATAAGTTTAAGGTGAGAGGAGAAAGATTTCAAAGAGACCTGAGAGGCAACTTTTTCACGCAGAGGGTGGTACATGTATGGAATGAGCTGCCACAGCAAGTGGTGGAGGCTGGTACAATTACAACATTTAAGAGGCATCTGGATAGGTACATGAGTAGGAAGATTTTCTAGGGCTATGGGCCCAATGCTGGCAAACGGGACTAGGTCAGATTGAAATATCTCATCGGCGTGAACGAGTTAGACAGAGAAGGGCCTGTTTCAGTTCTGTATGACTTTATGATTCTATAATTAAAGGCCTTCATTTTTAAAGGTAAACGTATATATCCGGAAGAGCTATCACAATAACGGAAAACGTTCCCACCATCAAACCACCAGGACCTATTTTTGAACGACTAACCACAACCAGTAAAGTCCCTGCGCTCCCATTGAGAGGTTTCCATGCAAAGCCCATTGTGGGCAATGCCCAGGCTTGTGTTAAGTTTTATTGTTTAATCAGAGTTAACGGGGCTAAATGCTCCAATCAATAATCTTTGCAAGTGTTACCTTTAGATAATAATCTGAGCCAATTAAAACTCGTTTGACGTTACAATGAATTAGTGGGTAGGGCTTCAATTGAATGGGTTTAACCTAACGAGCAGCCTATCGCATTTCACTGTAAGGAGTTGAGCTGTTTATCAGGCTATCACCATCCCAGTTTACTGGGTCTTGTTTTCTGAGAGCTGAGGTCAATGGGACTGTAATTGCAACCACTCTCAGAGCCAAGTATCCTGACCATACACTAATGACTCGGGGTTAACGTTTCGGGTCCGGTGACCCGAGTTCAATCATTTTAGGGCCTAAACTCTCCCATGTCCTAGCGCCCCACCCCACACACCAGACCTTGTTACCACATAGCCTGCCATTACACACCCCCTGTTGTTAGTCACTAACAGTCCCCATTAACAACTGTTCACCCTCCCAGCCTGATCGTTAGCAACTCCTTTGTCTGTCCAACTGTCTTTCTCTCTCTTTGGGCTCTATCCTATCGTTTACTCCCTACCCCACCCACCTCCCTATTTTCTGCATATAAACTGACATTTTCCCAGCCACCATCAGTTCTGAGGAAGGGTCACCGGACCCGAAACATTAACTCTGTTTTCTCCTTCACAGATGCTGCCACACCTGCTGAGCTTTTCCAGCAACTTTGTTTTTAATTCCTGATTCACAGCATCCGCAGTTCTTTCGGTTTTTATTAATGACTCGGGGACGTGTGTGGTGTATTTTAACTGAAACGAATCGAGATACATCGAATTATTGGGAATCATTCTGCTGTATCTTACAATATTACGAAAAATTCCCGAAGAGTCTCAAATTGAACGAATACTTATACGATGGACTCTAGGAAATGGGAAATCGGGCGGTCGCTCTTTAAGGGCGTTACAATTAGCCAAGGTTAAACATCAGACCTAAGGAAGGGACACTGGACCCGAAACATTCGTTTCTGTCTGCTACTGAGTTTCTCCAATAATTTCAGTTTATATTTCAGATCCCCAGCAGTCTGTTTTATTTTAGTTATGCATCAGCTATTCGGCTGCATCGTTTCCCGTTCAGTTTGCAGCCTGTGACAAGTTAATAATTGTTGTTATCTAGGCGACTGGTCTATAATAACGGCAGTACCACTCCCCTGCTCTTTCTCGGTACAAGAATGAATGTATAAAGTCAACAGTTCTGTGATCCGGGAATGCTGTGGTTTCTGGCTGTAACTGTAAGTTATATATAAAGAGGGAGCACAACGAGAGATTTCTAGACAATGCTTATTGGAATAAATGAAGAGTTAGAACCAAAAACAACGGAAGATTTAGTACCCTTCCCCCCCCCCCCCTTCAAGGTTCTCGTAAAATGTAGGGGTGTCTAGTATTTTGGTGTGCTTGAGTTATAGTTAATTATAGTTCACACCGGCCCTCTGAGGCGCACCCCGCCAACTTACAACCCTGCATTTCCCATAGCTAGCCCACCTAACCTGCATACTATGGGCAATTTAGCATGGCCAATCCGTCCTAACCTGTATATTTTAGGACTGTGGGAGGAAACCCACGCAGACATGGGGAGAATGTGCAAACTCCACACAGACAGTCACCCAAGGGTGGAATCAAACCCCAATCCCTGGTGCTGTCAGGCGGTAATACTAAACACCGAACCACCCTGCATAGCAGCTTTCACAACTGTGAGCTAACTAATGTAGGGAGTAATAAATCTGTCGTGATATTTGTTCTCCTGGAGATTGAAATAAAAACGGTATTTAAATAAAGGCACAGTTTTTGTTTTGAGGATTTGAATTATCTTCCCCCCTGCCCACGTCCCGATGATGGTAACCGCTAGCTTTGAGATGATTAATCCTGTGACATTCCCTCCTTTACAGCCCTGTGTTTATTTACCACTGTACATGACAACATATCTAGATCAGCTCGTCGGAAAACCAAACAGAAATCATCAACAAGAAATACAGAAATTGCAGGAAAAGCTCAGTAGCTCTGGCAGCATCTGTGGAGAAAAATCAGAGTTAACGTGTCTGGTCGAGTGACCCTTCCTCAGAACTCAACATCAACTTTCCCCAAAATTTCAAGAATCGATTTAGACAAATGCCAACTTCAATTCTCTAATTTGGTGAAGTTGAAAGTACTGATCGGGCTGTTGGTGTTAGCATTGAGACACAGTGGGTTTGAAAGGCATACTGGCTGTACAAGCTTCATACTACATTATCATTTATTGCTCTAGTATCTTGCACCCCTTTATGCCGAAGACTTTTCTGCATTCATTCCTTTACCCTCTGAACACACCGGAGACTCTAAACGTTAGCTTGCTCTCTCTCCATGGACGCTGCCTGACCCACTGTGATCTCCAGTATTTGTTGTTTTCAGTACAGATCTCTGCAGTAACTTGCTCCTACAATGTTTGCGGACAGTTTGCTGTGTGGGAATGCTTCCGGGAAGGTGCTGTTCCCTGTGTTTTGCTCACACACTTGTTGCTCGGATCCACGGGATGTCCCCTTTCATAGTCTCGGTGGGAGAGACCTGAGCAGATGCCGGTGTGAGTTGAACACTTTCGCGGGATGGGGGATGTTAACGGCCTGACACAGAATGGAGAGACAGCCTGCGGTCTGTCAATAATCCTTCCAGCATCAGTCTGCAGCTCACAGTCTGTCTATGCCACCGGCCAACACTTAGCTCATTTATTTGATTTACAAAACGCACCGATTATTCAGGAACTTCCGAAGTCGGTGAATATTTTTCGTCTGGGTTTTGTTCAGTCCATTCTTTAACAATGTCCCGTTTCCTCGATAAAAACCCCAGGCTTCTTCACCCTTCGCCATGCTCCCGGAGGCTTGTCAAGGCTCTCTTCCAGATTCCTCACATTCGATTCCCGCTCTCAGAGGGAGAGAATGGAGAGATAGGGCAGGGATAGATGATAAAGATAGAGAGATAGGCAGGAAATAATGACAGAGAAAGAGAATAGGTAAGAGATGATAGAGATAGAAAAAATACAATAGCGAAATACAGAAAGCGACAGAGAGATAGGTAAGGGGATGAATGAAACAAGGGATGGGGGCTGGTGTTGATTAGAGAGATAGAGGAGGAGAGCACAGTAAAGACATGTCGCCCGCATGGCGCATGCGCTAATCTGTCCTTTAAATTCTTCCAAAACTCTGTTCTTTGCAGATGCTTCTCAGGTAAAAGGAGGAGGAAATCATTTCAGCTCAGCTCAGTGACCCCCAGCTCAGTGACCCCCAGCTCAGTGACCCCCA